GAGAGAGAGAGAGAGGCTTACACTTCTTTAGTGAGGACCAAGCAGCCATGGCAGCATTCTTCTCAGCTTGCTTCTTGCTCTTCGCTGGCTCGCCGGAAAATGAAATTCCAGCCAATTCCACTGTGCATGTGAAGACTGGTAAATGACCAAGCCCTGACCTCACTGTCGTGTACACGGGAAGAGCGGCTCCAGCTCTCTGAGCTATCTCCTGTAACAGGTTCTTATAAACTCCAGTTTCATCCTGCAATACAGAATTTCAATCTTCTGTTATTTATTTATTCTTCATCTAGGCCAATCTGCCATTTCATAAGACAAAAACTAAAACGCAATTTGACAAAAAATCGACATTGGCAATGGAGAAAGCTTGGAAATATATTGCTGCAGGGCAGGTAAAATGTGAAAATGGTCAAATCTGTGGAGTAATTAATGGGAGACAAGGTTAGAGGAGAAAGGAAATGAAAATTAAATAAAAGCTGAACAATGTAATTGAGGAGATACTTGAGTAAAATAATCTTGTTAGACAAACCACTTTGTTGATAAAATGGCACATTCCACATCCCAAAGCTGAAGAAATACTTCAAGATTAAAATCATCTTGATACTAGATTTTGGTTTTTTAACAAACTTTTTACAATCTATTCTGCAGATCCAAATAGTATGCTGTTGTGAATAAAAATCACCTGTTTTTTCACCACTTCTCCAGATCCAAAATAAATTTTGGGCTTAAAACTATGCTTCAATCGAAATACATGACATGGAATCGAAATAAGTAATAACATAAATCTCAATGACAATAATTCCAATTGTATCACACTGGAAATGCACTGAAACTTTTAGACGAGTACTTTCTGTTAGTATTTCAAAAATTCAGATATTCGACTCGAGACTCGCCCAGGACCAACTCAGCTCGGTGCCCTGGCAATTTCAAAGGCAAAACCTAGGGACTCACCCCAAGTCTCTGACTTTATAAAGAAATACTTGGGCTTGAGACCCAGAAGGGTCCCAGCCTGAACCCATGTTTCCAAACACTACTTTCTGCAAATAAATTTTATGTTAGGATTAGTTTGCACAGAGAAAGCATGCAGTGAGACCGTTTACCTTTGGTACAAAAAGGTAAAAATCACCGTTAGCCTTCAAATATCAAATCGAGTGCCTGGGTTATGCCATTGCCTGCACTAAGGTCCGAAGAAAAAAAATAAAATTGTCGTACTTCATACAGATAAACAGCTCACCCAAGTAGTGTAATTTCACATTCAGCGCTGAGGCAAAGGTGGCCCTTTTTACCAAAGTTAAACCGTCTTATAATATACCATCACTTTTGTACATGTAACTCGTTACTTAATATTCGAATACAAAATAAAGCATCTCCACCAAAAATAAGGTGCACTTGATGTTTAGGGAATCCAAGGTCCAAGGGCACAGAAACTAGATTGTAAAACTCATGGAAAATAGAGAGCATCCAAGCAAATACTTCAAATATAAAAATGGCTAAGCCTTGAAACGTATAAAAATGGCTAAGCCTTTGCAAGAAATCAACTTTCATAATTCTCAAACTACAAGCTTTTCTGGTCGATATTTCATGACAATTTATACCAAATTCACTTTGTGCTTTGTATGAGATTAAGGTGCAAAACTGACGAGACATCCTCAAAAGATAGAACCCTACATTAATTTCTCATATTGAAATGTCATCGATTTTAAGATAAAAACATACATAGAAGTCTATAATCAATCAAAGAAAAAGGACATAGATTGTAATACATATTCAGGTGCATCAACACAATCACCTCAAAAGACAGCCTTATTTGACAACCATCTTGCAATAATTCCTCCCTTTTTTTTTAAATAATTTGATTTTTCTTCTAGTTTTGTCAAATTACTCAACTACCATCTTAAGATGTTTTCAGGTGCATCAACTCAATTACCATTTTATAATTATTGAATTTCAACAAAAATAATTTCTCATTTAGTTTTTGATAATTACAATAATTTTTGTTCTCTTAAAGAAGAAACAAGAAGTTAATCTTACCAATCCGCATTTGTAATACAAAGACAAAAAAGGAAAAAGGAGTAATTTCAGTATTAATGTTCAGGGGTATTATAATAATTTTACTGTATTTTACAGTGAACAAAAATGGCTTTCTTCGTACTGCAGAAAACCCAAACCCTAATGCGAAAAATGGCCAAAGCATTTATGGCACAAATAATCGGCATCAGAATTTCAAAGTAATCAAACTCCGGGTATTTCAATAACTGGCCAATCTTTTTCTTTTTCATTTTTCAGCACAAAAAAAACTAGCAAGATAAGGAAAACTTAGTCTTACTGAGATAATGGAATATTAACAAGAAAAAAATAGCCAATTTTTTCAATCTATACAAAGTCATAAAGTTCTTCCACAAAAAATTCTGTGAAAAAATCACCCATTTCTTCAAACCAGCCACTGACTCAGTAACTCGTCAAGCTCATTCACCACAATTCCCAGTTATTATCAAAATATTGCCGTTTTTGTCACCAAAAAAAACAGCATTTCTAAGGTTTCAACAAAAGTATAGCCTACCACAGTAACCAGTGTTTCTAGAATGCCTAACTCAGTAACCAGTGTTTCTAGAATTACAAATCAAAAAATCACAGCGCTCGACAACAGCATTTATAGGCTTTCAATTGGAGGATCACATAGCTCAATAACCAGCATTTCTAGGGATTACAGTGCTCACTAACCAGCATTTATAGGGTTTCAAAAAAGAGATCCACAAGTCCATTCCATCTAGGGTTTCAATCAAAGGATTAATCAGCATTTCCAGGGTTTCAAAAAAGAGATCCACGACGCCGTTCACTCTATAGTTTCAATCACAGGATTAATCAGCATTTACAGGGTTTCAAACAAAAGATCGCCATATTTTGGCGAGTCCAATGACCACCATTTCCAGAGCTTCAATCAAAATATCACGGAGTTTCACTATCGCCATTTTTCGTCACCAGTATCACAACCCACCATTTCTAAGTTCTCCAAAAAAAAAAGAACTTTTTTTCCTCACTAACATGCACTAGCCACCATTCCTAGGGTTTCAACACAGAAAAGATGCGCCATTTCCTCACCAGTATTCATCAACCACATTTCTAGGGTTTCAAAAAAGAAAAGATCGCGATTGACTCTTACCAGTATCCTCGCCGCTAAAGACTGAGATGGCCCTCTATTTGATAGCGTGTTCAAAGCCACTTCAGCAGCCGCGTGCTCAGCTTGTCTCAGGGTCGTACAGAAACCAGGGCTCTCGAAGACCTCGCCGTTAAAGTTAACGGCGGCCTTAAACCTAGGCGCATGGTCAGGCCCCTCTCGGATGCACGAATAAGACGGTAGGTTAAAGCAGCTCCTCTGCGCTAGCTCCTGCAACTGGTTCTTATACATAACGGAAAACCACCCTGGATTGACGGACAACCACTTTATGACTGGGGGACAGGTATTGAGGAAAGAGAGGGGGATGGGGGGTGAGAGGTTAGAGGGAGCGAAAGGATGGGAATGGTGAATAGCGGCTGTGGATTGGGTATCTTTGTGCCGGAATCCTTTGGCTGGATATTTTTCCGGCAAGTTATGGTCAGATTCCGACGAGATCAAGCAATGAGAGAGAGAGATCTTAGAGAGAAGAAGTTCTTGCTCCCAGTTGGGTTGTTAGAGAAAAGAAAAATAAAACCCCCTCCTTTTATTGGTGCTATGTAGAGAGAGAGAGAGAGAGAGAGAGAGATCTTGAGCACGGGAGGAGATAAAAAACATCTTTTTCTCTGATGGTGCTGTTTATACTTTAGAGAGAGAAATAGGGGTAAGCAGAGAGCAATTCCCGTCTTTTTGATAGTTTGTAGAGAGAGAAAGAGAGAGATGTTAAACAGGGGTGAAAATATGAACCCCTGTTTCCATTGCTGCTGTTTAGACTTCAGAAAGAGAGAGAAGCAGAGATAAACCCTTCTTTCAGTGGTGCTGGTTAAGAGGAAGAGAGAGAGTTCTTTTACTTCCTTACTGGTACTGTTTAGAGAGAGAGAGAGAGGTCTTCTGTTACAACTGGTGCTGCTTTTGAGAGAGAGAGAGACCCTTCATTTAGTGGTGCTGTTTTTTTCTTTCTTTATTTCTTTTAAAAATAGAGCTTTTTTATTTCTGACTTTTTTATTAGAATTCAACTTAAACAAAAAAATGTAATTTTTGTTGTGGAGTCAACTCTGCATGCATTCATGCATGGAGCGTGATCTTTTCTTAGATTTCTTCTTTTTTTTTATTAAATTTTTAAGTTTATTTTATATATTTCTTTTTTTTATTTTTAGCATAAAATATCATTAAGATATACAAAATACCTCCTGTGAACCCATTTATAAGAAAATTGTTGGCTTAAAGAGGTCATTTCATTGAAACATCCCTGCTCTGAATTGAAGTCATTAGAATATGATGGGTAGTAGGAAACGGGTCAAGTGGACCCATGGACCCTGCAGGTCGATACGACGAGTTATGGGTTTGAACCCATACAATATACCTGATGGGTCGGGTCAGGTCCACTTGAACTTAACCCAGGTCGAGTCCCAATTCGATCAACCCAACCCAACCCAACTCACTATATACAAGTGTAAAAGATGTGTACATTTATATTCACTAAATATTATGTCTAAACTATTCTATATCACTTTATATATTTTTTATTTCTAGACAACTTGGTGGTTAGGTCCTAGTCTAATCGACTGGGATCCGATCCGACCGAACCCATTTGCACACCAAGTAATGGGGCATTCTGGTTAGGAAAATTTATGGAAAATAATTTTTTTAATTATCCTAATTTTTTTAAAAAAATTATATTTTATATTTTATATTTTATGTTCAAGATTGTATTTCATGCGATCCCTATTTTGCTTTGGATTGGACAGGTCCATGAGGTGGTTCAACCGGTCAAACCGGGCAATTCGACGAGGACTTTTTCTCACTTGTGTCCTTGGAGCTATCTCAAATTTTCTCACTTGTGTCCTTGGCCAAAATATTTGTGCTTGTTCATGATTTCAAGTCCAACATATTTGGCAGTTTTGAGAATAAATTTTGGGATGTACTTAAATGAAGGGTTCTTATTTCATCAGTCACTTTATCTATAAGTTGGTTAATTTGGCATTTTTAAAAGGGTTGACCATATTACCATTATTTCCCATTTTAAATAGTTTAATTTTTAAAAAATATTAGTTTATTTCTTGGGCTCTTTAATAAGTTTTTATGTTTTGGTTGGCTTCTTCGATGCTTCCTTGAATCAAGATATTCGTCGATAAATTATTTATTAATATTTTTATATTTATTATTTTAATTTTATGGAAAATTAAAGTTTAACTGTTCAATGTACCATGAGTCAAAGTAAACGGAATGACATTTCGGCCCAGTTTTGAAATTTCACTAGGCTTCAAATGCGCCAAAATTTGACATTATTTCGATTGAAAAAAGGCCCAAAAAGGTGAAAATTAGTCTTAAAGAAAAAGACTAAAACCATTAAAATTTCAATTTTAATTAACAAAAAATAATTTAGGGAGGTGCTATAAGCTTGTTATGTTCTTTGCATAGTTCTAACTTATATTTTGAGATTTATATATATTTTATTTAAAACTCCTTTCTATATTGAATGTACAGATATTTTTCTTACAAGCTTGTCAAAAGATAAACTTTTAAAAAAGTGGAATTATCACTATAAAACTAAAAAAAAGTATATAAAAAAGACCATTTACTTTTTTTATACAAGGAGGTCGTAGCCATCATTTTTCATTAGATTTCAAATTGAGTAGTTTTAAAAATGTCAGTAACTACATTTTAAATAAAAAAAATTTCTCGAACTTCGTAACATACTCCAATTAACCTAATTTGATCTGACATGTAATAGTTATGAGTAACTTAGACCTCCTTATAATATAGATAAATAGTCTCATTAGATATAATACAATGATGGTCTCATACGGTTTCTAAAAAACAGAAAGTATGCTACTTCAACTAATTTTTCATGTAAAATAAATTTAAGAAATCATTGATGAAAAAAATAAGCCATGAATTTGAAGTCCCTGAATGACAAAACTAAATTGATTTATCTGACTTTTAGATTGCAACCTTTACTAAGTTTAGTTTTTATTTACATTTAGAGGACCCAATCCCCACGGAACTACTAAAAAAAGTTACATTTAATTGGGGTTTGATTGCCATAGCTTGAAACAATGTCTTCAGTATCCTCATTTTACTGCATTTTATCCTTTTAAAATTTTAATATTGCTTTACCCAATGTTGTGAGATTCACTTCGGAGTTTTTTTACAATTTGTATAAATTATATATATATATATATAATAAGAATAAATGTTTTTCTATATGTATTTATTTGCTTCAACAGAATCGGCCTGAAATCGACTGAAGCGGACTGAATTTGACTAAAACGGCAACACCAGGCTTTGTTTCACGTCGGTCTAGGCCTAAAATCCGATGGCTCTTCGGTTGAAACAAAGCGAATCTAACTTACACTAATTTTACCCAATAGACAAATATACCTACCCAAAGGCAAAAATAACTTTTCTTTGGACAAAAATACATATTTATCATTGAGGAAGATGCCAAGAGAGTCAATTGAAAGTTAGATATTATTAATTATCATGTTCTTATGCGTGTCTAGCTTGGGATTGCGACTCGAGAATAAAATATTAATAGATTTTAGGTTTTTTTGCCTCCAAGGAGCCTTATTCCATCCATGTTTTCATTTCTTTGATAGACCTGTAATAGGAATGGAACATGAGATACAACGCTAATCACTCAAGGCCAAGCTGGATTAACGCTAATCACAATTCATGATATTTTATTTTAAATGTTCAGATTTTTCTCCTGGGTTTAACCTGTAAGCACGATTTAGTATAGGTACATGAATTTTTCTTTTAAGACAATTATTAAAATGAGAAGACATACTACATGATTATTTACCTTGTGTATAGAAAAGGTCACACCCACCTCTAATCGTCAAATGTGAAATTTAGCATTTGGGTTGTGATTTAAGTAAGACGATTTTTCAGACTTTGTGCAGAGCAATGCCTTTATGTTTAGGGTTTATGTACAATGAGGCTATTTCCCTTTGATACACAGATGCCATAATTACTTATAATCATCCAAGAAGTTTGAGCTTAGTCAATGAAATAAATGCAGTCATCTAATTTACCGTTCAATGGACTAGATTAATTGTGAACACCTTATACCACAAAAAAAAGCTCTCATTGTACAAATTTCTTTATATTTAATGATTCGATGTATTTGAGACCTCTATGCATTTAAAATTAATGGTCTCATTGTATACAAATAAAACGAGAGTGTGGTTTATATAAGACATGGACTGTAAACAATTAAGCTAAGGAGCACCTCTAAACTATATAGAAAGATGTTGTAGTTTTGATCCCAAAAAGCAATCATATAAAGTTATTGTGCCAAAAAGCAACTATATAGAAAGATATAGTTCTGGTGCCAAAAAGCCCACTTAAAACACTATTCACAACCCTAATTATAAAATTTAAAGCTCAAAGGATAGTGCAGGTTGAGCATATCAATGAACACTTAAAAGTCTTAAAAATAGATGTTCTTTATGTTACAAGGTGCGTTGTTTTTATGACTTGAAACCCTTCGTTTTCATATATGTCGTATCAAGGTCGAGATGATCAATGCAAGGGTTTCCTAGCTAGACAATTTTTTTTTATAGATTTTTAAGGTGGATCTTAGTTCTATAATACAAGGTCCAACTCCTTTAATTGATCATTGAGTACACGGTTTGACACCTTATATAATATATTTTCATAAAACAATAGTTCCCGAAGAAGAACAAAATTCCTAACTAGCAAAACTAAAATAAATACTATAATTTTTTTTAAGGATAACACAAGCACCGACTTTTTCCTTTTTCCATTGTAAATCACCCTTCATTGGAGCATAAACACCCTTCAATGGTTCAGAATCTTCAGACTCATCCCATAGGTATTCTGATCAATTTTTTTTTTTCATAATATTTTTTAATTATTTTTATTTAGTGTCATTTAAAAATGCATCTATATTGTAACTTCTAGATAAAGGTAATTTTAAATAAAAAATAAAAATAAAAATGGTTTGTGACAATTGCATGAAGCCTTGTTCAATCCAAACCATTGAAAATGTGCTTGTATACCCTTTCACCATTCACGTGATGTGGATGGGAGACTTTCCCTTCCCATTTAAAATTTACATGAGCTAAGCAATAGTTTCTATTCTATAAATAACTGTGCATAATACCTTGTTCAAAAATATTAACTATACATTAATATATTAACATCTCTCTCTCTCTCAACAAAATTTGTTCCTCTCTTTCAAATCTCTCTAAAAATAATTTGCTTGTCCTCGTTATATTTGACTTCTCTCTGTCTCTCTCTCTCTAAACAAAATTTACTTGTCCTCATTAATTGTCTAAGACCAGTTTGAAAATGAATATAAATTAGGGTAGGAAGCATGGTTCCAATCAAGGGTCCTTTGAATTAAGGAAACGCGCTTTCTTAAATTTGCAGTCCAACTTCGAATACTCAACCACTCTATTGATGTAGCCATATAACTAGAAAATGACTCTAACATTATATATAAAAAAAAAAAAGAAGGAAAGTGATCTAACATTAAAATTTTTAAAAAAAGGACAAGAAAAACCTAAAAAATGACCCAACCATATCATTAACTTGTGGTTTGCATGGCTGTATAGCTCTTTGCTCCTATTTTGGGGGTTGCAAATGTATCTTATTCCTACATGGTCCATTTTGTTTTTTGTTTTGTTTTTATATTAGTGTTTATCTTAGCTCTTGAAAGGTCATTATATCTTTCTTGTTTTCTTGAGCTTCAAATTCAAGGATTTGTCATGGATTTGAATTAATAAGAAACGCGCTTTGATCCTAAATCTCTTAAGCTAAAAGATTTCATGCTACCGCCGGAGTATAGTGTGTAGGTACTCCCTTGGGTAAAACCCCATCAAGGATTAGCTTTAGGACTTCAATTTTTGGGGATGTAACCTCTTCAA